CCCCCCCCCCCCACACACACACACATACATACAACCCCCACCCTCCACTTTCTACAGGAATTGTACGGTTTTGGTATAAATATTATCTATGTTGGTAATTTATTAGTCGACAATCATTTTTATCTTAAATGTTGAAGAGTCGTGTTTCTGATCTTCCCCGATACAAACGGTACTAGTGAAACGAAAATACCAGGAATTTACAAGGAGCACGGAAAGCAATGAACATTAGAAAAGCAGAGTGTTCTGAATAGTGGACAGTGTTACTAGTGCCGTCTGTGTCGGGGAAGATCACTACCACGATCAAACATTAAATATCTTCAAGCTCTCCCTCTCTCTCTCTCTCTCTCTCTCTCTCTCTCTCTCTCGTATCTTTGTTATGCAGGATTTGTTTATTTTAGATAATATATATATGTATAAAATAATTAGATTATATACACGCGTGCTGTAGATCGATATCATAACACATATCTATAGTATATATGTTAGGCAGGATTTGTTATTTTAGATAATATATATCGATTAGATTTTATGGTTAAATTATACACGTGTGCCATAGATCGGAAACAAAAAACTACAACAAGATGTTATGAGTGTTGCAAGAGAGAGAATGTGTACCAATACATTTGTTTATGTATATAGATCTATTTCTTTTTCAGCATAGCCGAGTCATTTAATTTTTTCATTAATAACTAATTAAAAGAAATCAAATCTGCGATAAAGATATTTGGGGCGATATAGCTTTAGGGGCGAAATGGATTTTGGGACGAAAATATTTTTGGGGCGATATGGGGCGAAATGAGCTGAAAACTGGGGCAATGTGACAAAAGTAGGGGCGAAGTGGTCTGGGGCGTAACGGGTTTTGGGCGAAACGTCTGTCTCCGCCACTTTCTTTTACTTACTACTGCCAGCCCAGTAGCCCTGCACTTATTATAACACCGTTTTTAAACAGCTCGCATTGACATGCACGCTGCACAGAGTACTCGATACAGATAGATAGATAGACAAACCGAAAGTACAAAGCTATGTCACAAGGACGCTTGTAATTTATGATAGTAGCGCCCGATTCAAACACCAAGATGACACTGACCAAATTGGAAGCAGAAATCGAAGGTAGGACATAACGTCAGTGGAACTATACATGAAATTTTGTCATGATACGAATATCAATCAATATCATGATTTCATTATTTCTATTAACAAACATGTTGCTGTTTTAATAGCCCACAAAAGATTGACCATAATCGCAGGATTCATCGTTGTTAGTTGTTACTCAAATATCTCGCCTTCGGTACCCGTTGATAATTTGACAGTTTGATGTGAGAACTTCAAGGGTTGTGTACAGGATATGGGTCTTGAAGTCCTCCAGTGCTATGCTTTGTACTGCTTCTACAGCTAGGAGATTCTATTGTGTTGGAGAAAATGATCATTTGTATGTAAATGTATCCATTGTAGAAGAAATGTGTCTGTAGGCATGTAAAGTAGCAAACTTGCCAACTGAGACTCTCTAATTAGGAAAAAAACTCCCCATTTTGGTCTCTTAAATCTATTTTTTTTCAACCAGTGAATTTGCTAAACTATTCCTAAATTCTAAGATCTGATAATTTCATCTGAAAGAACAACTCAGAATATGTCATTTAAATCGTGGACAGTGAGAGCTCCACCTCGGTGGATGTGGACTCCGGAGTCCCCCAGGGCTCAGTCCTAGGACAGAGTCTCTTCATGTTTTATATATCAGCGACCTGCATGAGTCATTGAAGTCCACCATCTGACTCTTCGCGGATGACACCTATCTTACAATTACATCAGAGGACAGCGGTAAGACCCTACAGGAGGACCTCGACAAGCTGACCAAATGGGAATGGTTATGGTGTATGAAATTCCATCCTGACAAGTGTAACATCCTTAGACTCACCAACAAGAAAACCCCAACCAAGACCAACTATCACTTACAGGGCCACTATCTATAGGAGGTCAACACAGCCCCCTACCTACTAGGTGTCACCAGATCCAACAACCTTAAATGGGAAACCCACATTTAGAAGATAACAGGGAAGGCAAAAATAACCCTAGGCTTCCTATGGAGAAATGTGAAAATTACAACTACTCAGATCAAGATACTAGCATACACTGGCCTGGTCAGATCTTTGCTGGAATATGCATCCTCCGTATGGGACCCGCACACCCAGCACAACATCAACAGCATCAAACACACCCAGAGAAGAGCTGCAAGGTATGTCACAAACTGTCATCGTAACACATCCAGCGTCTCTGGTATGCTTCATATGCTCGGGTGGAAACAACTACAAGAAAGAAGGAAGGAAGCAAGACTAGTGATGTTATACAAGATTGACAGAGATATGGTTGCCATCAGTAAAGAAAACAGACTGCTACCACCAAGATGACTTGCCAGAAACACAAACATCAGATCCTTCCAACTCCTTACCTGCAGGACTGATTCAAGAAAGATGTCTTTCTTCCCCAGAGCTGTACGTGACTGGAACGCCCTACCACCAGACATCACAGATGCAGCCACACTGACTCGGCCTTCAAGGCCAGAGTGACGAAGCTCTGAAACCCTTAAAGCTTCTTTTATCCTGTTTTTAACTTACAAACTTATTTTAACTGTGCCAGTCCTGTGGCCGGACCAATAGCAGCTACCATTTTAAAGAACTTTGTGAAATCCACCACATGTTTTATTTTGTCACCAGTAACAAGCATGTAATTTATACATTGAAAACAGGTGTCAGACGTTTTGCGCCAAAACTCTTATGCCCCAAATTTGATTCATATTGTCCCAACCAGTTCACTCCAACAAAAACATAACGCCCCAAATAGTTTGAACTAAAAAAACATAACGCCCCAAATAGTTCGCCCAAAAAACCCATAACGCCCCCTCAAAAATAAAGTAGCTAGTTTATTTTCCCATTTCCTTTGAAAATTCGTAGTTAAATAATTATGTGATTGTGTTTACCATGCCAAGGGGAATAACGTGTTTCTACAATACACCACCCATTTAAAAAGCCGGAATAGTAATTCATTATTTATTGAAAAAAACCACTTTTATTATAATTTAGCTAAATTCCTTTTTTTATTTGTTTTTGTATGCACGAATCGATAGATAAGCATTACTAGATGTAAGTTGATCACCAATGAATATCCAAAATGATTAGTGATGTCAGATATGAAATGTCTATAGTTAGTATAACATGAACAGAAGAAGAAATAGTGTTCTGCATTTACAAAATGAGCCACAATGCAAGTGCAAGATGGATCAATTATCAAGTGACCTTTGAATTTATCAAAAGTTAAATTGCTAGCATTATTACGTAATTGATACAATAACATATTTAGTTTTCTTGGATTACAGGTGATGAAGTCTTCAGAAATGTTCCTTGGAGGTGTTTGAGTTGTGTTAATTTTCTTTTTAAAAGAACTGATAGTCAGAGACAAAATGACAAAAGGATCAAGATTGTTTCATAGGTGCATGCCATCAGGAAAGAAACTACGGTTGTAGATGCAAGTTCTAGATTGAGGAATGTTAAAAAATCTATTTGTCCGTAGATGGTGATTTACTTGTATATTGAATATTCAACTATATCAAATAAATAATCAGGTGTTTAGTGGTTGAGGGTTTTATACATTTTAAGACTAGTTTATGTTTATTCCTCCGATCTTTAAATTTTTCAAAACCTGTTTCATAGTATAATTTATGGTGAAGTTTATGTGCCGTATCCCAAAATATTCGTCAAAATACCAGATGTATCCCTTCCAGGGTACAGTAACGCCGGATCATGGGCCTAATTAACTCTGATGGTATTTCGTGTTCTTTTTACAGAACCATGCGCCCGAAATATCAAATTGTGGTAGAAATGAAAAGTGGATAGTTGTTACTTCATTTCAGTTCATTGCATGAATGATGTAAACTTGGGTCAGTTCTATATTTATCCAAAATTCACTGTCTTTGCTCTCACCCTTTCGAAAAGATGTTGTCTTCAACATGTAATCCACATATTTTGCTATAAAAATCTGGAAACTCCTTCAGTGTTTAGGTAGCAGTGTACAGTAGCGTACGGTGGCCATGGGTGATATTTTTGTACAATGAATAACCCCTGTAATATTACAGGTATCAACACTTTAAAAAAAATCAGCTCTAAAATTGGCATATACATGATAATTGGACTATGTGGGCTTCACATTTAAAAAAAATAAAATTCGAATTTGGCTTAAGACTACATTTTTGGCCATTTACAAATCTGTAAATATTGTGAAAAATCCAGTTTAACGACCTATGCTAAAACGTGAGTATTTCTGTTACCGAGTAGGTGATATTTAACTTAAGACTGGTTTTAAAATCATGTTTTTCAGCACTTTTGGGCGTTTTTTGATGTGGTAAACATGGTTTTCACAAGTCCCAAATCTGGAGAAATCACTTTTTGAGAAAAAAATCATTCTTCTAAAAAATCCGGATTCAAAATGTAGTTTATAAATATATGTAGGTGTGTTGTGCAGGATGAATCCGCTTTCCATGTTTATCTGAGACATGCCCTTTATTTTTAGGGTCAAGCCATTTCTACTGTGTACTCTGCTACTTCATACACAGAGACATTGAATTTTTCTTTAAAAAAAAGCCTTTTTATGCTTGATTCAGCTTCAATTGCATTCAGTATTGCTTAAAACTACTCAAAAACGCTTTAAAAGTTACATATATAGGTCAATAGCCTATTACCTGTGGATGTATAAACGGGGGTAACTCGCAATTCACAATTCATCGCATATGTATCAATTGTGTAATTGATAAAGTTGATACCAAACATCAATTAGTTCACAGGCTATCTCCTTATGCATTAAGACTAGATTTCAGTCTGTTCAGCACCCGGTATCCATGGTTACCAATACATAACTTTGTATTTATTGAAAATGGGTAAAATATATGTTTTCATTCTTATTACACTATTTTAAATGTTTTTTTTCCACTTGATTCAGCATACAGATTAAATTAGCAAAGTCAGTAATGTCAATAAATTTTATTTCCATAATTACAGCTGAAGAAAATGTTTTTTTTCTAGCAAAATATGTTAAATGAACAATTTCTGAGGGTCACTGTCAATTCTAGGTGAGAAAAGTAAATAACGATTGCTATGGTGGCACTTGTTTGATGTTTCAGAATATCTGACATTTTGGTGCTGTTCATTGGTTACGGGAAGTGTGTCTGTTGCTAGTTTGTTGTTGTGATGGGTTTCTAGTGCTCATTTTGATATCAGTTAGCCTTGATGATGTCATAGATGCCCATTGATGATGTCATAGTTATGATGACATCACAGTTATGACGAAAATAAAAGACAAGGGACAACAGTTTGTACTGAATAGTATGGTGGAATGAAGTGCTATCATAACTGCACAAATACTTAGAGTACATAGCAAGTGTTCCTAGTTTAAAACAGAGAGTATGAGTATTACTTGAAACAAATTTTAAATTATATAAGAAATGATTGACCTTGAGCTATTTTCAAGGTCACAAGGGTCAAATGTCCTTATATAAGTATATGTATAAAAGTGATTGTAAGCCTTTGTTTTTGTTTCACAATTATAACCAATACTATTATCCATATGTTGTAAATCGCTTTAGAGTGATTTTACAAATTATATAGGTCGCTTTATAAATGTTGCATATTATTATTATTATTATTATTATAAATCTTAACACTTCTGATGAAATACAAATAGGCATAGGGTCACATTAATATCTGGCTGGTTGCATGTTGAAATAAAGTGAATTCAACTTCATTCAAATGAATAACCTTGACCTACTCTCAATGTCAAGAGCCATATTCCTTATACCTTTAAATGATTTGTTCAGAATTGTTCATTTGTGTAGGGTCATGGTGTCTTGCTAGTAGCATGCAGAGGTGAAATCATATCAAGTTTTAATGACTTTTTAACAACGAAGATGCATATTTGTTACATTTTGTGATGAAGAGCTATCAAGTTTATTCAACTGAATGCCTTTGACCCATTTTCAGGATCACAGGAATCAAATAATAGAAGAAAAAAAAAGTGGAGATGCAACAAAAAAAAATAGCGTTCCCTAGCTTAAGTTAGCATTCTTAACTTAAGTTGGCATTCTTAAATGTATGGGGGAAACCAATGAGATGTCTAAATTTAAGTTCGTCAAAATCTGCATTGAGTACCAATATTCTGTAGTTAGTTTAAGTATATTTTTTTAAGATAAAAAATGTCTTTTGTGCATTGAAGACTGCAAGGGAAAAAAATTTAATTTAACATTATTATCTTATTAAAATGATGTTCTCTTGATTTTTTTCAGGCAGCATTGAACATCACAGAAGTAAGACAGGGTGCCTAAAATAACAACCCACTGACAAAATTAAAGAAAGGAAAGTAACCCACTGACCAATCGGGTAAACAGAAGAAACCTACTGACCAATCATGTCGAGGGAAATAGCAGCAGTTAGTTTGGGAATTCTGGGACTTGGTCTAACATATATCAGCTATAAAATATTCACCAGTGATTCATCTGTGGCAAAACCAAGTACTTTTTTTGGCAAAAGGAAAATTAAACCTGTTGCACTAAAAAGGAAAGATAAGCGTTTTGACAAAGTGGGGAAAACAGTATGTGAGAAAATTAAAACTATTGAAACTCAATGCTTCAAAGGAGTAAACAATGCATTGAGTCTAGGTGTCAAAGACATAGATAAATTGAAGAGTAGGCTTGTAGCTAGATGGTTGATTAATGAAGAGGACACCTCCGACCTTGTAACGTTGACCGATATTCTGATGACTTTGAGACACAATGGTGTTCTCGGCCCTACCAATTACCTGGAGAATGTGACAATTATACTTCAAGACATTGGAATAGGACTGAATCAAAAATCAAAGGAGCTGTTAAATATCCTCAGGGATGGTGTCATTGACCACATTGAAGCAGACATTCAGAATCAGAACAAAACGGCTTGGGATTCGGACAGCAAAAAGATAGATATATATGTTCTGTATTCCCAGGATGATTTTGACATGGCCCAAACCTTTCAACAAAACATTTACAGATATGTAAGTACCAAAGACGTGAATGTTGTCCTGATGGATGATGTGGGACATGGGATGACTATATTCCGAGCATTTGAACAGGGATTGAAGTCCTCAATATACACTTTCGTATTAGTAACAGAAACCTTCATTAAAGATGAAGTGAAGAAGTTTCTGGCAGGAACTGGCTTGATTGAAAACCTTCAAAGTTCTGCTAGGTTATGGAGACTTGTACCAGTATGGATGGACTCTGGTATAAATGAGTCAGGAAAATGTCCACTGGAGTTTGCTATGTTGCAGGGTTTGCGCTATGATAGGTTTTTGGAAAATAAGGGAGAGATAACAGTTTTCAAAAATATTGACAGGCTTCTTAAAAAGGGTAGGAAAAGAGAAATGGATGAGGGTCTGAGAGAAGAAATGGTGGAAGGTGACTAAGTGCTTCTCATCTTGGTTGCTGTATACAGAGTTATATCACAGCAGTGTTATTTCCGCAATTAACATGTTATGGTAATTTATCGTAAATCCAAAGGTTTCAACAGCACTGTTGACATTGGTTTGTCCAATAACAAAATAAACCTAACAATCATGAAATTGGATATTTATTTGATTCAAACATATTTGTTGACGCAAAATTGAGAAGAGGATCAGGTACAAGTTATTCCCACTTATCTATGTCTTTTCCTCTAACACAAATTCAGCATGGTACATGCAGTCTAGTGGTAAGACGCCCGTTTTTTTACCGAATGGTTGCGGTTCCAGTCATGGCACTGTGTTGTATCTTTGAGGAAGATACTTTACTCCGCTTGTTCCAATCTACACAGCTGTGAATGAGTACGTGGTTGGGCAGTGGTAGAATTGCTGAATGCTAGCTGTGAGTGCCGAAATGGCAGCACCTGCTGTATGCTCCCAAGGGAGTTGAGAAAGATACAGATTCCTAAAAATAGTTATATAATCACTCTGTCACCACAGAGTTAGGCAAAAAGGTTTGTTTTGAGTTTGTAACAAATTATAGATTTTGATTATAATGTTGATGTTTGGTGTCTGGAAGGCTGGTGTGGGTTTGACAGATACTTTGATGACAGTGTACAGGGTACTGATGTCAGTTGGAGAACTTCTTTCTTCCTCATTTTTTTTATGATACTCTCGAGTTGTCAGCATCATTGTTTTAAAAACAAAATGACGAAATTGTTTGAGGTGATGAGATGCAAAAATCACAGCTTTATTTCTAAAATTGTATCTGGTACCTAATAATACTTAAATTTTTGTATCTTTCAGGTTAACTTATGTTTGATATGTGCAATGCTAATATTTTGTAAAAGTTTAGCATACATTGTGGAGAGTTGTATAGTACGAAAAGTCAAAGGTTTCCTATTTTCAAACTGCCATATTTACGTGCAGTTTCAGATTTTAACCAATCAAAGTGATGCAAGGTTAAATTAAGTGACTGATTAACATGTTTGTTTAACCTATACCTCCTGCTCTGAGTAGATTGTCTAGGATGAACAGGATTAACGTGTTTGTTTAACCTACAACTCCTGCTCTGAGTAGATTGTCTAGGATGAACAGGATTAACATGTTTGTTTAACCTATACCTCCTGCTCTGAATAGATTGTCTAGGATGAACAGGATTAACGTGTGTGTTTAACCTACACCTTCTGCTCTGAGTAGATTGTCTAGGATGAACAGGATTAACATGTTTGTTTAACCTACACCTTCTGCTCTGAGTAGATTGTCTAGGATGAACAGGATTAACGTGTTTGTTTAACCTACACCTTCTGCTCTGAGTAGATTGTCTAGGATGAACAGGATTAACATGTTTGTTTAACCTACACCTTCTGCTCTGAGTAGATTGTCTAGGATGAACAGGATTAACATGTTTGTTTAACCTACACCTTCTGCTCTGAGTAGATTGTCTAGGATGAACAGGATTAACGTGTTTGTTTAACCTATACCTTCTGCTCTGAGTAGATTGTCTAGGATGAACAGGATTAACGTGTTTGTTTAACCTATACCTCCTGCTCTGAGTAGATTGTCTAGGATGAACAGGATTAACGTGTTTGTTTAACCTATACCTCCTGCTCTGAGTAGATTGTCTAGGATGAACAGGATTAACGTGTTTGTTTAACCTATACCTCCTGCTCTGAGTAGATTGTCTAGGATGAACAGGATTAACGTGTTTGTTTAACCTATACCTCCTGCTCTGAGTAGATTGTCTAGGATGAACAGGATTAACGTGTTTGTTTAACCTATACCTCCTGCTCTGAGTAGATTGTCTAGGATGAACAGGATTAACGTGTTTGTTTAACCTATACCTCCTGCTCTGAGTAGATTGTCTAGGATGAACAGGATTAACGTGTTTGTTTAACCTATACCTCCTGCTCTGAGTAGATTGTCTAGGATGAACAGGATTAACGTGTTTGTTTAACCTATACCTCCTGCTCTGAGTAGATTGTCTAGGATGAACAGGATTAACGTGTTTGTTTAACCTATACCTCCTGCTCTGAGTAGATTGTCTAGGATGAACAGGATTAACGTGTTTGTTTAACCTATACCTCCTGCTCTGAGTAGATTGTCTAGGATGAACAGGATTAACGTGTTTGTTTAACCTATACCTCCTGCTCTGAGTAGATTGTCTAGGATGAACAGGATTAACGTGTTTGTTTAACCTATACCTCCTGCTCTGAGTAGATTGTCTAGGATGAACAGGATTAACGTGTTTGTTTAACCTATACCTCCTGCTCTGAGTAGATTGTCTAGGATGAACAGGATTAACGTGTTTGTTTAACCTATACCTCCTGCTCTGAGTAGATTGTCTAGGATGAACAGGATTAACGTGTTTGTTTAACCTATACCTCCTGCTCTGAGTAGATTGTCTAGGATGAACAGGATTAACGTGTTTGTTTAACCTATACCTCCTGCTCTGAGTAGATTGTCTAGGATGAACAGGATTAACGTGTTTGTTTAACCTATACCTCCTGCTCTGAGTAGATTGTCTAGGATGAACAGGATTAACGTGTTTGTTTAACCTATACCTCCTGCTCTGAGTAGATTGTCTAGGATGAACAGGATTAACGTGTTTGTTTAACCTATACCTCCTGCTCTGAGTAGATTGTCTAGGATGAACAGGATTAACGTGTTTGTTTAACCTATACCTCCTGCTCTGAGTAGATTGTCTAGGATGAACAGGATTAACGTGTTTGTTTAACCTATACCTCCTGCTCTGAGTAGATTGTCTAGGATGAACAGGATTAACGTGTTTGTTTAACCTATACCTCCTGCTCTGAGTAGATTGTCTAGGATGAACAGGATTAACGTGTTTGTTTAACCTATACCTCCTGCTCTGAGTAGATTGTCTAGGATGAACAGGATTAACGTGTTTGTTTAACCTATACCTCCTGCTCTGAGTAGATTGTCTAGGATGAACAGGATTAACGTGTTTGTTTAACCTATACCTCCTGCTCTGAGTAGATTGTCTAGGATGAACAGGATTAACGTGTTTGTTTAACCTATACCTCCTGCTCTGAGTAGATTGTCTAGGATGAACAGGATTAACGTGTTTGTTTAACCTATACCTCCTGCTCTGAGTAGATTGTCTAGGATGAACAGGATTAACGTGTTTGTTTAACCTATACCTCCTGCTCTGAGTAGATTGTCTAGGATGAACAGGATTAACGTGTTTGTTTAACCTATACCTCCTGCTCTGAGTAGATTGTCTAGGATGAACAGGATTAACGTGTTTGTTTAACCTATACCTCCTGCTCTGAGTAGATTGTCTAGGATGAACAGGATTAACGTGTTTGTTTAACCTATACCTCCTGCTCTGAGTAGATTGTCTAGGATGAACAGGATTAACGTGTTTGTTTAACCTATACCTCCTGCTCTGAGTAGATTGTCTAGGATGAACAGGATTAACGTGTTTGTTTAACCTATACCTTCTGCTCTGAGTAGATTGTCTAGGATGAACAGGATTAACATGTTTGTTTAACCTATACCTCCTTCTCTGAATAGATTGTCTAGGATGAACAGGATTTACATGTTTGTTTAACCTATACCTTCTACTCTGAGTAGATTGTCTAGGATGAACAGGATTAACATGTTTGTTTAACCTACACCTTCTGCTCTGAGTAGATTGTCTAGAATGAACAGGATTAACATGTTTGTTTAACCTTCACCTCCTGCTCTGAGTAGATTGTCTAGGATGAACAGGATTAACATGTTTGTTTAACCTACACCTTCTGCTCTGAGTAGATTGTCTAGGATGAACAGGATTAACGTGTTTGTTTAACCTATACCTCCTGCTGAGTAGATTGTCTAGGATGAACAGGAGTAGTTGTGGTAGATACATTGTATTAGAGATTGGTCCAAGATGTTGTGTTATGATTGGAGGCTACCAAAGGTTGAGGTGGAGATTAATAGAATCTTCTCCTATCTAGTGGGTGCAGAGAAAGAGAAATCTCCAATCTGAGAGGTAATATATGGTTGTCTAACCCAAGGTACTACCAAAGGTTGAGCACCATAAAGTCACCTTTCAGATTGGACATTTCTCCGTTACACATTCAAGATACTGTGATGATTGTTTTTCTCCCATTATTCCTATACATAGTGTACTGTTTTGAACATTATAGTTTTCAGCATTTGTGATCTGTTTTTATCCTATTTTGCGTATGACGTATCTAAATGTTTCTGTAACATCATAGTATTGTTTCTTTTCATGTCATATCTGCCATACCTTTGGGGTGACACAGAAATCATACCCTAGAGGATAACAAAAGAAATAAACACGGGGAGATAATTCTGTGAATGAAGGGAGAAATATTGGTCACTGCGCAGATGATAAATGATGCTCATTGGGGTCAAAGACTGTGCCTCAGATTATTTCTCATCAAAACCAAAGAAATTTGCACAAACAAAAAACGATCGCTGTTATATAATTGCTGAGCAATTTTGACCAATCAGAATTTAGAAATACAAATACCATGCCAAACATTTGGTTTTTTATGTCATCCCTTTTTGTGTTGTCAGTTTTTAGGTTGTACAATATAAATATATCTTCCCTTAGGTCTGATCGTTGAGGGAATAGCAATAGATAATTCTATTGTGTTTTTTGAAGAGTTAATATTTAATACTTGTTAATTATGTTTTTAACAAATTTGTGAAACCAGTGAAATCATTTGTTTCTAGTAACGTGAGTCCTGTATTATCATTATTACTTTAATCAAATTATGTTCCTACCCACAAGAATTCAAAGTTCTATCAAAATGAAATTACACATTCATTAAAAATCAAGCATTTTTGGTTTTGAGGTTCAATTAACACTACTTCTACTAAAGCTTTGATTCAACTGATATATTTGTAGTTGTTATAACCACCCATCTGTACTGCCTGATGGGACAAATAGGTCTGCATGCTGAGTTTTAGTATGTGTCCATCTGTGCATCACTTTGTCTGCGGCATTATCTCATAGACTCTTTCACCTACAATCACAGATTTTCTATGCAAGTGCCTTGAAATGATGGAGTGTCTAATACTGAAAATAGGTTATATTGTGGCCAAATATATACAGAGTAATGGCCCTTTGTAATTTTGTTGCAAAGCATTGTCCAAGTAACCAACCTTATCTCTTTCCTACCCATTTACTGGATACATCAATCTGTTTATCTGATTAACAAGTGTTATCGATTACTGTCTCCTCTATTGTTATGCACCACTTGTATGAAATTTGTATAAAATTTGTTATTTATATCTCAATAGAAATAGAAACCACCCAAAATGAGCTTGAGTTTGAAAGTGATAACTGTCGCGATTGAGTACATTTACATTAGACAACTAT